GAATCTTTTACCGTGCATACTTGTCAATCATCATGCCGTTTTGATAAGCTGTTTCATTCTTTAATAAAAGGTTCTTTACGCTTTTTATTTTGATGGTCTTTGCATATTTCCTTAATAATCATTTTGTTCAGCGCAAGGTTAAATCAAATCGAAATTACTATTTTACTTCAGTAACGTTCCTCATTCGTCTCGTGCGCAAAACGTGTTTCAAATTCTATCATGATTACTTCATCAAGTGGATATTTTTCCGGAATAGAAAAGAAAATGCCGCGCTAGGTTCACTGAGAAACTTTAAGGGACCACGCTCAACCAGAGTGCATTGTAAGCGAAGTCGCTAGTTAACCGATCAAAAAAGGGCTGCATTTTGCCTCCGTATCAAGGCTCAATTTCCGATGATCACTACAATTTCAGCACTTTAAAGTTCTTAAGCAGTTCTGTCCTCACATCCCATTCTACAATGGTTTTTCGTTGTGCGTAACAAATACTTTCGCCATAATCACGAGTATCGTAAAATCTTGGCCCCATTCTTTACTTATGTTCCAAATATATTTCCTGTGTCACAATATCACTCTTTCTTCCCCAAATAAGCGAGTTAAAAGTCGTGGAAGCCAGTTGAATCCTACGGACTTTGCTTTCATTATAATGATATTTGTCACGTGCTCCGGCAATCGTTTCAAATGTCTCGTTTCCAAGTAAATATTTAATGCCTTTTTTCAATCATTAACATTCAAGTGCTGGCATGGGGACTGCTGTCGTAGTATCCCACAACCCTCCAGTCCATAGAGCTTTGTTTGGTGTGTTTCCTCGAGCCAACAGAGATCAAAAAGCCAATATTTGACAATTGCTCGCTCGAACGTAAAAGTCAGTCCTCCCAGAACATTTCACTGACTAGAGCGTTTTCCAATATTTCGGTCGAGACAGCAAAATCGGTCAAATAAACTCCTAGTGGCTGGTAGGCAGTGTTTGCGGCTAAGAGATTGTCCTGAAACCGAGAGGCAAGGCTCTGTGGCAAATGTAGAATTTTTATGACAATCTCGCAGTCTCAGAAATTATAAGCTGACATACAAGCCAGCAGCCGCCTGAAAGGGTTTATATACTTAACGTAACCCAGCCATTAATTTCCGGGCGATTCTATGGGGTTCTTTACATCACGTGGATTTTCTTGAGGGGATCATATTGTTGTGAAGGGGGTCGGAGGGGTATCAGTCAATCAATCAATCATTGTCAACGGATTATAAGAGGAGGGCTAACTGTCAACAAAGGAGGGGAAACACAAAATTGTTGCAGACCCTATGAGGGGGATCAGGTAAATTTTATCGTGTCACAACCAAAATCCTCCAGCCCTCCCTACCCTTTCCCCAGACAATAAATAACGACCGGTCCCCTATTCAGTTTGAGAGCTGTTTGTCTCGCTCATTTCCTTTAGTGGTTGCAAATCGATAAATCATTTATCGCAGTTCATTTATTTTACTTGTGCTTTCGCCTGCACTACAAGGAATCAAGCGTAATATAAGTTTATCAATCGGTGAAAGCTTCATTGGAGAATCGCTATTTCGATAACTTCCTCGCTACAACCACAGAAAACACGCAACAAACTGAATAACGAATTGCCCAATTTACAAGGATAATAACCGCGCGGTTATCACTCACTTTCCATCCGCCAAATGATCTCATATGATCTCCCGTGAACATTATCAGTTTGCCCTTTGGTTTAACGCGTCGGTTTTGTGCCGTATAAACAACTATGACGGGCATTACCCGGGCTGCATTAGACTGAACACAGTTCCATGGTGAGTATACTGCCCAGACTAGGGAAAGAAGTTAGATCATTTTTGCAAGTATTTTCCTTACCAATTGTATTGTATTGTAATCTTTATTTAGACACGATCAATTCATCAGCCTATAAAAATACATATCACATACGCTAAGATATTTAAAATTAAAACTACATACTATAACACTAAAGCTGTTTTCCGCGAATGCCGTGCGTTAGACTTAAAGAATGTCATTGATCTTACGTTTTAATAACCCCAGAGACTCTGTGTTCCTTATATCGCGTGGTAAACTGTTCCATAATGTGGCGCCATTGTAGCTAAAGCTTTTTCTGTAATAATTAGTGCGCGGTAGTGGAACATTAAGCTTATTTTCAGAGTCCCTGAGGTCATAAGCAGAGTCACGCCACGTAAACTTTGAATATAGATACCTTGGAGCTAGCCCGTGCAGACATCTAAACATCATGGTGGCTTTATGGATTTCCTGCTGGCGTGCAAGATTTTTCCACCCTAAAAACTCGAGTAGCTCAGTTGCATCAGCATCATAGTTAGAGAATGTCAACACACGGGCTGCTCTATTCTGCAATTTCTGCAGTTTGTCTCGTAGCGTTTTCCCACAGCTACCCCAAACAATGTCACAGTAATCAAAGTGAGGTTTTACTAAAGCTTGGTAGATGAGATGTAAGGTTGATGCTGGGATCAGGTGCCTAATTCGCTTTAGGGCCCCGATACCAGAGGCGATCTTTTTCGTTAGTTTTTCGATGTGACTATGCCAATCGAGTTTATCGTCTATTATTACACCAAGCGATTTTGTAGCTGAAACCTGGCTCACTTGAGTATTGTTCATTCTAATTGTTGGTGAAGCTGTGAGAGTATTCAGTCTCTGCCTCGACCCTATTAGCATGAATTCGGTTTTAGTCATGTTCAACGTGAGTTTGTTCGCTTGTAGCCAGTTGAAGACGTTTTCTAGGTCTTCATTTAGACAAAACTGAACGTTCTCAAGATTGCTTCCCGCATATGTGAGGTGCGTGTCATCGGCATACATTCTCGGTTTACAATTTGATAAGCAATTTGGAAGATGTACCCTGTTTTCTGGACTACAAGACAAACCTTGAAGGAAAGATAATAATGCGCAGGCTTCCAGTGACAGTTAATCTTAACCTTACTTTACTCAGCTTATGAACTTCACATTGTTAATCTGCGATTAATACCGAGATGCAGCAACAGAATGTCACGCTTCGGAAATCACGCAGTGTTACGTGACGTTTCGTCTAACATTTTAATTTACAGTGTGCTCAGCTGGAGGATTTTTTTTTTTTTCGTTTTGGCTAAATGATTTACTGACACTGAGATCAAAACCTTACGCAATGCCTTACCAGTGTTGCACGACCTCAGTTTTTTCCCGGAACGACTTCAACTTTCCCACACGCTTGTAACATTGCGCGATTTTCGAAAATAATGTGACATACAGTTGCTGCATTATTTTAAAACTTAGACACTACATGGCCCTGTATTAATTTAAGATAGCTTCATTTACAAGCATTGTAATGTTCAACTTCAAGAGAAGAACCTAATTAAAAGCTCTCTCAATTTTATCTCAGTTTATAAATTATTTAGCAAAAAGGAAATAAAAAAATTAATAAACGCATGAGTCAGAGCCATTCCTGTTAGTGGTTGAAATACGGGAATGGCTCCAGTCTCTGATCGTCCACCTGAACTGAGCCTGAACCGACTAAATTAGTTTAGTCAGCGAAACTAGTCAGCGGATGACTAAGTGATCGCCGGAATATCGTAGAACGACCTCGCTAAACAAGAAAGGCTCTGCCTTCCCTTCGTTATGTAAGTAACCACTTCTTGTTTGACACATCGCTGTTTTCACGGTACGTAGTGACTAAAACGAAGACCCCCAAAACGAACACCCCCTACCAAAACGAAGACCCCCTACCTCGTTTTGGTAGGGGGTCTTTGTTTTGTAGGGGGTCCTCGTTTTGGGGGTCTTCGTTTTAGTAACTATCGTGTTTTCACTCGTGTTCTGCTTCGAGACACACCGTTAAATGATACTCACAAGCAAGGAGTTAAGATGTAACTTATTAATTTTTACTATTTTTATCATCCAATTACAGGTCGGAGCCATTCCTGTAATTAGTCGCTAGTGCCCGGACCACATCAGACTGAACACAGTTCCATGGGGAGTA